GAAACATCAATGATGAGAGAGAATCATTGATGACTGCCTCCTGCACACCCCACATTGGGGATCGAGCCTGCAACCTGGACATGTGCCCTGACTGGGAATTGAACCCGGGACCTCATGGTTCATAGGTCGACACTCAACTGCCACACCAGTCGGGCATGCATGGATCTTGTAGTCCCCTGTGGATGGACTGTAAGATGGGCATTGGTTCCACGTTCTCATCATAACCAACAATACTACCAAGAGCATCGCTGTGCATGTGCTTGAGTTTCTCTTGGGCTGTGGTTCTCAAAGTGTGGTCTGGCCATGAGATCAAAACTATTTTCCTAATAATCCTGATGTTATTTGCCCTTCTTCATGCTTCCTCTCTCCTGAATGTACAGTGGGGCTTTCCAGAGGCCACATGGAGTTTACCTTGCAACAGATTTACTACAGAAGCAGACGTGAGAATCTGGGTGCCTTTGATTAGGTTCGTGATTAAAGAGATTCGCAAAAATCTAACATCATGCCATGCATGCTCCTTACTAATGGTTTTGTTTGGGTAACAAGTGGTAAACATTATTATTTTAATGAATATGTTATTTATATTAACATGATTTATTATTTTAAATAATAAGTATTTATATTTTTTCTCGGTTTTAATTTCCCATAAGCTAAATATCAAGAGATATCTTCTGCATGAGCAAAATCTCTTTGGTGTCCTGAGACCTTTTTAAGACGGCAATGGAGACCTTGAACCAACAAGTGCGAAAGGGCACATCTCCTGTGGTGGGGCTGCTGGGTCATACAGTGTCCATATTGTTAATTTTACTAGATGCTGCAAAACTGCACTCCAAAGTGGCTAAAACAGAACTTAAAAAAACCCTGGGTATAGTTGTTTTTCTCAGGCAAATCTCAATTTATAAACAATTGCGCAATTATTATTAGACTAGTTCAGTGATACAACAGATTTGATCTATGAAATATTGATTCAATATCTTTTCTAAACAATGATAAGGCATGCAGGATGATATTTATTTTTCATGAATTCAGAGGGAGTTTTTTTGGACACTGAAAATAGTGTCGTAGAGTACAACATTGAATGTATCGGAAAATTTATTTTTGTTTGGTGCCTCATGGGACGTAGAGTATACAAGTTATGCAAATAAGCTTTTTTACCCGCAGGGGAATTTCATTATTCTTAAATACTACCTTCTGCAATTTTTTTTAAAACCTAAGCCATGTTCCACTGACACTCAATTTGTAAAAAGATTATAAGACAGCCCTAGTGGGTTAGGCTCAGTGGGTAGAGCGCCTGCCTGCGGACTGAAGGGTCCCAGGTTCGATTCTGGCCGGGGGTACATGCCTGGGTTGCGGCTCGGTCCAATGTGCAGGAGGCAGCCAGTCAATGATTCCCTCTCATCATTGATGTTTCTATCTCTCCCTTCCTCTCTGAAATCAATTAAAAAAATTTTTTAAAAGATGCTAAGACATTTAATGTAAAAAAAAAATTCAGAGGCTGTTAGTTTAGAGGTCGCTTTATAATTGACCAAGGTTATTTGGGTTGTTTTTTGTTGTTTGTAGACTAGTCAAGGGTAGCTGATCTAACTGAACTAAATGCTGGCAATAAGATGTGGGTAAATATAAAAAGCTGAGTTTTACAGTTGAAGAGTCAAGATGCAACAGTACTAATTGGCTGTTTCTTCCAAAGCTTTTACATCTGTTAGTAAAATGAAAGGTAACCACAGTCACATAAATAACAATTATCTGTTATTTATGGTGAAGGGCTTCCAGCAACCAAGTGTAAATCTAGGTGAGTTTTTATGCCTCTTGGCCACGGCGGAGCATGCTGCGCCCACTCAGGGAAATGGGTGGGGTAAGTTGGAAAGGGGAGCACCCCACAAATGAGGGGCCCTATCTGAGCAGTAATAATACTATTGATTCCGCACGCATCACAAGAACAAAGGGAACTTATTTTGTATCTGTTGTTGGGAGATGGTCCAGCCGCTGGTGGGGCTGAGGGAACGGAATCTTCAGTAGAGAAGTTATGTGTGTCAGTAACCAGGCTCCCAGCCGGTCATGGCCTCTAGAGTTGATAATCAGGCTTCAATATGTTTAAGTGTGGAATTCCATATGGAGGGTCCTTTCAATGGGAAGATAAACCAGAATTGCTGGCCTTAGCCTTTTAGAGCATTGGCTTTCTTTGCACCACTTCAAGCAATAAAGAACTTAGAAACATCCACTTCAGCTATTTATTTGATAGAAGAAAATGAGACCTAGGGAGGATCACCTACTCATGCGTTTACTTGAAAACAACAACAAAACCCTGCCATATATATGTTTTTTGTTTGTTTGTTTGTTTTTTGCCTATCCTCACCCAAAGATACTTTTCCATTGATTTTTAGAGAGAGTGGAAGGGAGGAGGACAGACAGAGAGAAAGAAACATTGATGTGTCACATCGATTGGTTGCCTCCCACACAGGCCCCCTGACCAGGGCCAGGGATCAACCAGAGCCAGGAATCGGGGACCCAAGCTTGCAACCAATGTACGTGCCCTTGACCAGAATTGAACCCGGGACCCTTCAGTCCGCAGGCCAGCACTCTATCCAGCACTGAGCCAAACCAGCTAGGGCTGAAAAAAAAATATATTTTTAACTCTCACTCTGTGTAGACACTGACCTGATCATGAAGAAGTACAGTGAACAGGTCATCTATCATCCAAACCAGGGCACTTTTGAGAGTAAAAGGGGGTGCTCTTAATAATTACACCGAGATATCAAACAAAAGTCAAAACTGTCCTGGGCAAACCTGAATGTTGAGTCACCCTAAGACATAATCCTAGTCCTCAGGAGCCCAGTATCCAATGGGAAGGGGAGATGTGTAACCACAAGGTGGGTAACTATGCATTGTGATAAGTGCAAGAGAAATGCCGAGGAAGGATGCACCTGCCCCAAGGGAAAGAGCTCCCAGAGAAAGCGGTGCTCCAGTGGGTGCTCAGGGGTGGGTCACAGTTTTGTGGGCAGAGAAGGAGGGGAAGGGGTTCCCAGCACAAGGAAGAGGACAGACAAAGTCTTAACCATTTTGATGTTTCGGGGAGCTGGTCAGTTGGTGGTGGAAAGAGAGGAGTTGCTGAAATGAGCCCGGTGGGGACCAGGTAACCAGGGCCTTGCAGGGTGTGCTAGGGAGTGTGGGTTTTATTCTTGTCGGAACAAGGAATTCTAAGCAGGGCCAGGACCGAATCAGATTTGTATTTTGGAAAGTTCACTCTGACAGCAAGTGGGAGATGGATTGGAGGAGAACAGTCAAGAAGCTTTTGCATTGAGCCACATGAAAGACAATAAGACCAATGTTAGGCAGTGATGGTAGGGATGGGTCTGAAAGGGCAGTGTGAAAGCTTTTAAAGAATGTCGGTTTGTGTAACTAAAAAGCCCAGAAGTAATGCCCACATAAGCATGGCAGCAGACAGGAGCTCAGACAATGCCATGAGGATCTGAACTCTTTTCTTTCTTTCTCTCTTTCTCTTTCTTTCTTTCTTCCTTCTTTACTTTCTTTCTTTTTTTATTTTTCTTTCTTTCTTTTCTTCCTTTCTTCCTTCTTTTTTAAATATATTTTTATTGATTTCAGAGAGGAAGGGAGTGGGGGAGAGAGAAACACCAATGATGGCAGAGAATCATTGATCAGCTGCCTCCTGCATGGCCCCTACTGGGGATCGAGCCCACAACCTGGGCATGTGCCCTTGACCGGAATCTAACTGGGAGCCCTTCAGTCCACAGGCCAACGCTCTATCCACTGAGCCAAACAAGCTAGGGCTGAACTCTCTTCTTATCTCAGCTCAGTGCCTTCTGTGACAGGTTCTCCGTTGAGAGTGTCTAGCTTGTTAGCTTCAAGTCCCGTGAAAAAGAACACCTGCCCTGGCACTCAAAGAATCAACCGACAAGTCAATGGCCAAGGGAATGGGTCATTGGCCAGCCTGGGTCATGTGCTCTACTCCTGAGTTGGGTGAGGATCTACACAAATTGCACCAATGGAGACAAGAGAAAGAAGTGGACCCAACAGAGAAATCTCAGGCTTTTTGCTGAAAAGAGTGGAATCCATAGTGGCTGACCAGGAGTTGTTTTAAGATTATGGTTTTTAATATTTGTAGTGATTTCAACATCATCATAGTCATCCTCAGGCTCCATAGAGCTCAGGATGGAACATCTTTTTAAATTTCTTTTTCCTTTTTATTGAATTTACTGGGGTGACACTGTTTAACAAAATCATACAGGTTTCAGGTGCACAATTTCATGACACATCATCACTACTGTATTGTGTGTTCAACACCCCAAGTCAAGTCTCCTTCTATCACCATTTTATCTTCTTATTTCTAACTTTATTTATGAACTGGAGGCCCAATGCACAAAATCTGTGCAAGAGTAGGCCTTCCTTCCCCTGACTGCTGGCACCGGCCTCCCTCTGGCCACCAGCAATCACCCGGGACCTGAGCTTCCCTCGCAGCCCCAGCTTCATCTGGAAGGTCGTCTGGTCTAATTAGCATATTACACTTTTATTACTATATGTATGTAGCTGGTGGCTGACTTGTGGTTTCCTGTGGGGTTTAAAGTACACAGACGGTAGGTCCTGTGAAATCCTGATATATTTAATTCTATCATCCAAACTAGTAACAGCTTTGTTGGCAAAAAAATGTGGCTTTATTGCATGTATAAAATCTCAACCAAATTACACATGTTGCTTGTTTTTGTCCAACTGATAGAGTTTCTATTAATGTTCAACATTATGAAGTGCCTACCATGTGCCAGGGTTTGTGCTGGAGACGGGGGATATAACAGTGAGCCAGACAAGTTCCACCCCATAGGAGACCCAGATTTAAAAAGGAGAATGGAAATGTAACCAGGCAATTATAATGCAGAGGTATTTTCATAGGGCCAAGTACGGGGAGTGGTGAGATCCCAGAGGAGTTTATTCATTCATTCAGTTGATATTTATTCAACGTCTTTATTGAGCATCTACAAAGTGCCTAGACATTAAATAGGAACAGAAAGAACAATGTGGGGAAGAGAGATTCAGCCTCTGTCCTCATATTGCTCTCAGTCCAGTGGAGGAGAGAGACAGGCAGACAGGTCAGTACCGCATGCTGATGCTATGAGAGGAGAGCATCTAAGAGGGCACCAGACCCCAACTTGGGGTGGTGAGGAAAGGATCTAAGTAGCGATGGGAAGGATCAGAAGGTGGGGGAGATCCAGACAGAGAAGAGGGTGCTGTGCATAGCCATAAGGGCAAGAGAGACCACAGACGAGGTCAATTTAAATCGCCAGAACAAAAATTTACGGAGAGTGGAGGTTGCAAGGAGGTGGGGAAGGAGAGGGTTGGCAAGAGATAACCAGTGACCTGAAGTTGACAAATCTTGTAATCAATATTAAGGATTTGGAGCTTTTTATGAGGATAATGGGTAAAGAAGAGATGTAAGCAAATGAATTAAGTGGTCAGATGTTCATTTTAGAAAATTACAAGCTGCCATGTAGAAAGGGGGTTGGGGGTGAGATGCCAGAAGCAGGAGACCAGCTGGGAGGCTATAGGAATTCCCTTGGCATGTGCTGGTCACACCTGACCTAGGCACGGTGACGGAGACATGTAGTCTGACGGGAGAGCTCTTTGAGAGGTGCAATCAGCAGGAGGTGGGGACATGGGAAAGAAGGACTCCAGATAGCGTGCTAGCTTCTGACTTCAGCAATGAAGAAGCGGGCAGAGCACAGGGGCCTTGGAATCGGGGTACGTAATTCGTTCTTTCTTATATATGTTGAACTTGAGGGGACAGGGGAGAGTCATGTGGAGATATCCTGGAAGCCACTCAGTCTGGAATTGAGGAGAGAGAGCTCAGCTAAAGTCTGTGACTTGGAACTCGTCAGAATAGAGGGGGTACTGAGCTCATGGGCATCAGTGAGGTTGTTCATGAGTGTTTGGAGCAAGATGAGGGCAGGGGTTGAGATGGATGTGGATGGCTTACAGAACATGCATGAGAGGAAAGCATACATGTAAAACACATGTAAAGTTCCACTTGCTAACCTACGTTCTCTAATTTGAGAAGAGTCCTCTCTTCAGTGCGTTGAATACCACAATTCTAGAAGGCCACAGTGAAAGAACCACTGGTCTGAAATAAGTAGGTACTGACAGGCAGCCGGGGTCTCCATGGAGTCTACAAAGCGGTTAACCAGGGCAGGAAGATGTGTTCCGGCTGGTCCAGCACTGGCTGAGGGAGGAAGCTTAATACGGCAGGAACACACTTGACATCTCCTGAGGAGGAGCTCATCCAACAGTCACTCCCAAGGCTTTTCACAGGTCATCTGCTCTCCCTGCAAGTCTGCTCATTCGCTGTATTTCCCAGGGATTGCTTAGAAATCGGCGTCTTGTGAGTCTGGTTAGAAAGGGTCAGGTCCTAGAGCTCTAGTGGATCAACTCGAAACAACTGATGGGGTACAGGGATCTTCAAAGCTGACTTAAGGCTCAGGAACCACACTAGGGCACTCATTTAGCTGGACACTCCCCTGGCCCCTCCTTAGCCGCAGCACGTCACACTGCAGGTGCTGCCTCCCAGACACTCAGGGACAGTGATCTGAAGGGAAGGGGCTTGGCGCTGTTTGCACCGAACTTCATATGGGGAGGAAGCCATAATGACAGCTCTAGAGGAGGGCCTTAAGCCCGACCTCTCATCTTGAATCTGGCATTTAATCACCCCCTTTCTTTCCTGTTTCCCATGATTTTTCCTGGGAAGCCTACCATTCCTGTAGCCCACTATACACATGGCAAAATGACACCTTCATTTAGGCCATTGGTGTAACGTCTGTCCTTTGCTGATTGTTCTGGTGCAACTGGGAAGCACAGGAAAAAACCTGGGTGAGAACTTGAATCTCTATGGTCAGTCTGGTAACGTCATAGAGAGACACTGGGGTTTGAGGTGTGTGTAGGTGGGGCGGGTTCACAAGAACAGAAAGCACTGGCCACCCTTGAAGAACTCGCAAGGCTGACGCGGTGTTGCACACAAGAGCGCTCAGCCCCAACTACCACCACAGACGTTCTCACGGGAGGTGGGTGGGGCCGGTAGAGAGGAGACCTTGTGCTCCTAGTGGTGGTGCTGGGGATGGGAACTTGGGAGGCTCTGCACAGTCAACACCAAGCTTGAAGATCACTTAGACCCAAGCAAAGAAGGGAAGGAAAGAGGGAAGGGGGCCAAGAACAGAGCGGTTTCTCCCCGTGAGAGCCATGAAGCCCAGCAGTCCTTCCTGCGGACACTCACTCAACAGAAGCTCAGGGCCCGACTCAGTCTTCAGGGCTGAGCAGCCACATTCTTTCTCTGGCTGCAGTCATATGATCGGGAACACTGCTTCATCGCTAGGGTTCAGAGAGTGTTTATCTTACAGAGCTGTACAACGTTACCACTGCATCCGGGACCGACCACATAGACGTTCAACCATTCCTGATGGTCTTAAAATAAGCTGCGCGAACTCTCTTCAGCTTGCCAAAAAGAAGAAACAGTTGTTTCAAAATGATGGCTCTCCATAGAGGCAGGCATTTCAACGTCATCATAGTCACCTTCAGGCTCAATATAGCTCGGGATGGAAACTGTCTTCACATTTCTATCTTTATTTACCGATGAGTATGCCGGTGGCGGCTCGCTCCGGGTTTCCTGTGGGGCTAGAACACACACAGAGTCCTTAGATGCAAAGCTCTTGTGCATGTATGTATTTTTGACCAAGTGGCTCAGCATCGTTTTCATGGTTAGCCTTTCCATTTCTTGGTGGACCAGATCCCCATTTTACAAAGGAAGCTGAAGCACAGACACGACACGCTCTCAGGATCACCCAAGTGAATAAATGACAAATATTGGTCAGACATCTTGGCTGCCATGTCCCTCTGCCTAAGATTGCACTGGAGTGGGAACCACGAAACAGAAACTTTAACCAGAAACCAACCAAGTGAGTAGGGTTGTGTCTACAGATCCTGATTCTCGTAAGGAAGTGATACAAACCATATTTCCTTCTTGGCACATCCCTCACAATGACTTACACTGTTTTCTTGAACAACGGCTAATTGCTCATGCATGAATCTCTCTACTGAGGAAAAGGGAACAATGGTGTTTCAAAAGGTTAACTCAGTGCAGCCTGGGTACATAGCAAAAGGACCAAAGTGGCTACAGGCAGGATGACAGAGCAGCTCAGCTCCACTTTTCATGGGAACGGGAACTGCCTGGACCACAATCTCATCTTTTCCTCAGAGAACCGGAAAAAACTGCCACCATTTCTTTTTTCTGCAGAACTCTGCAATTAGACAGGTCTGAGTTCATGTAGACAGATCCAAGTTCATGTTCAAGCTCCAGCAGTGCGACCCTGAATAAGTCACTTAACTTCTCTGTGTCTAAGCGTCCTCGTCTGTCAGAGGATAATAATAACGTACCTGCCTCCTAGAGTTGTTGAAAAGATTAAGTGAGATGATGCTTAATAACGGGCCCAGCACGGGGGCCCGACACACAGTGCATTCCGAATCAATGTTAGCTAATCTTATTATTTATCCATCCAAGTTAAACGTTTTTATTCATTATCTACTAAGCTCCAGACACTATTCTTAGGGGTGAACCAGACAAGAAAGGTTCCCGTTTCCTGGAGTTTATATGCTAGTGGAGGAGGTTGATAAATGAACAAGGGAACAGTAACTACATAAGACAATTTTGGTTTCATAAGGAACCTTAGCAGGATTGCTCGGGATGGGGTCATTAGGAATGGCTTCTTTGAGGTGGTGCTGTGTGAGATGACGCTTGAAGGATGAGGCAAGGCCAGCTGCGTGGAGGACTCAAGGAATAACATTCCAGTCGAGGAAACCAGGCAGCTTTTCTGAGAGAAGGCTGAGAGGCCCAGCGACAGCCCCACGTTTCTGTTTACTCATGTTCTGAGCTGGGATTTGAATGTGAATTTATAAGTTGAACATTGGGAGCACTGCTACTTAGTCTAACCCTTATACACCTATTCATCTCTTTTGAACAGGCTGCTGCCATCTGCAACTCTGGACTGAAAGCTCATGTCCCACAACATTTGTGTGTTGAAGCCCTAACCCCATGGTGGCTGTATTGAGAGATGGGGCTTGTAGGGAAATAATTAATGTTAAATGAGGTCATAAGTCTACAGCCCTGGTCCACCAGGACTAGTGCCCTTCTCAGAAGAGACACCAGAGAGCTCTCCCCATCTTGTGAGGACACAGCAAGAAGACAGCCATAGAGAAGGCAGCCATCTGCAAGCCGGAAGACAGTCCTCACCAGAAACCAAATCAGCTGGCCCCTTGATCTCGGGTTTCTAGCCTCTGGAACGGGGAGAAAACAAGTTCCTGTGGTCTAAGCGACCCTGTCTGTAGTACATTGTTATGGGCAGCCTGAGCCAACTAAGACACCTGGATAACTTTGTTGTCCTACCCTGAATGGGACTGTTATCAGCAAAATATACTTACAGGCATCATGTTGAGAAAGCAAACCCCTGGGTGGCAGAGGGGGCAATTGACCTGGCGATTGATCGAGAACATTCCTGGGGAGAAAGGAAGAGGGGTTGGTGTTTGGTTTTGACCATGCCCACTGTCCGTGGACTTAAAGGAGAACGTCAAGGAAAGTGGACAGGGTTGAACATTCAAATCTCGGTCCCCGAAACCTAAAAGTATTACCTGCCCTTTCTAGGTCTTACACCCCATTTGTAACCGGCACCCTAAAGAAACCATTTCCTGTAGCCCAGAGAGCAACTGGGTTTGAAGAAAGGGCGTTGAAGTACTGTAACTTAGAGCACGGAGACCCCGTCCTGGGCCCCCCTGAGCTGGCGAAGCGCGGAGGTAAGCACCAGCTCTATTTTGATTCGCAACATGGATGCACCCCTAAAGCTAACTGTACACACATCATGTGACAGCAATGCCACTACTGGATGTATACCCTACGGAAGTGCTTGCATAGCCTCGTCCAACTGTTCATAACGGCACTAATCATAATGTCCTGAACTGGACACTCCCCAAATGCCCATCAGCGGTAGAATGGACACACTCGCAGGGGTACCCTCTCAAGGTGGAATACTCTATAGCAGCGAGAGCGAACAATCTGTAACTACACACAGTGAATCTCACAAAATGCTGAGCAAAAGAAGCCAAACACCAAATAATGCACACTGTGTAACTCCATTTATAGAAAGCCTAAAAACAAGAAAGACCTAACCTATGCTATTTCAGGTAGTGGTCATCCTGGTGGTAGAATGGCTGAAAGGGAATCTAAGATATGAGGTGCTGGCAATCTTTTTAAAAATCTGGGTGCCAGCTGCCTGGGTCTGTTCAGTTTTTGGAACTGTATTGAGTTGTACTCTTACTGTGTGCAATTTTCTGTGTTCATGTTGCGCTAAGAAGTTTCAACAAAAAGGTAAGACTCCAACCTAGACCCGTTCCTCGCTCTGTACTCTGATTTTCGAGGTGGTCTAGATTCTTCTGAGGAAGTGTTGGTCTCCTCTGTGTTTAGGCTGCCGGGGGAGTGGAGAAAGGGACACATGGCAAGAGCTCCACCAGTGGCCTTTTCTCCACGCCTCCCTGGCTCTTCCTAGGAGAGGGGCGGAGTGTACCTGACTCCTAAATTTGGGAGAAGTCCAGCTGCTCCCACGTTCTCCTCCGGAGCAGGCCTGAATGCAGAAAGCAAGTATTCTGCTCTGGTCTTTGCCATTCGGAGAAAGGCCGGCCCCGCGGGGAGACCTGAGATGCTACCGAGCTGCCTGTGCACCGAGCAGGAACGGTCTACTGGTTTTGAATTAGAAATGGCACTTGCCCACGGAGAAGCGCCACAGTCTGCAATGCCAGTGTTGTCCTCAGTAAAGGCGACATTTTGGTTACCCAACTGCACGACACATTGGTCTTACTCCTCAGTGGATCGAACTGGTGGGGGAAGAGGCCCGTTTTTTGCTGGACCCCTTGAAGCCCCAACAAAATTCATTTTAGTAGAGCCTAGATTTTGTTTCCGAAGGTGTGTACATTCCAAAGAAAGGATTGGCCCTTGACCAGCTCCTGGGAGATAACCTCTAAGCTCCGGAAATGTTCTGCTTGATAAGAGTGACTTTGTGTACCTGCGGCCTTGGGCCAGCCAGATAGTTTATGCTAACAAGGTGACTAACGGTGAGCACCTGCCCGCTAGTGTTTGCTGAGGGCCTGGGGTCATGCTGTATCAGTTTGGCTTCCCTAGGGGCTGGAGGCTGAGTAGATAAAGTAGTTATGCGGGCGTTCCATGCCTATGTGACTGACGCCCAATACAACCCTAGAAATCCAGGCTCAGGTGAGCTCACACAGGCTGTCACCGCGCATCGCTGGGAGGATGAAGCGCTGTCCACGTGATTTCACCAGGAGGGGCGACTGGAAGCGTGTGCCTGGTCTCTCCTGGACTCCCCTCTGAGTGCCTTTTTCCTTTTGCTGACTTTTTTTTGGGGGGGGGGCTTTTTTACCCCCGACCTGAGGATATGTTTTTATTGATTTTTTATTTTTTAGAGAGAGAGGAAAGGAGAGAGGGAGAGAGAGAGAAAAAAAGAGAGAGCAAGAAATATCAATGTTAACGAAACATCAATCAGTTACCTTCTGTATGCACCGGACTGGGGATTGAACCCACAACCTAGATATGTGCCCTGACGGGGAATCAAACCCAAAAACTTTTGGTGTATGGGCCAGTGCTCCAACCAACTGAGCCACCCGCCAGGGCTGGGGCTTTCTTTGCTGACTTGATTCTGTATCCTCTCGCTATAATAGCCCATAATCGTAAATATAACAACTTTTCTGGGTCCTGTAAGTCCTCCTAGAGAATCCTCCAGTCCAAGGGTGGTCTTGGGGACCCCTACCATAGGTAGCAATTATAAGCCCCAAAGATATTACAAAATACAAAAGTGAAGTTGGTTTTTATTCAGCACAATAGCTTTTAGAGGATTATATTTATAATCCCACTTCAAGAAAAGAAAGGCAGAACTCACCCTGAATGGGGGACCCAGAACCTGACCTATGACCTCTATCAACGTAGATTACAGCCCTAGCTGATTTGGCTCAGTGGATAGAGCGCCGGCCTGCAGATTGAAGGGTCCCGGGTTCGATTCCAGTCAAGGGCACATGCCTGGGCTGCAGGCTTGATCCCCAGTAGGGGGGCGTGTGGGAGGCAGCCCATCAATGTTTCTCTCTCATCATTCATTGATGTTTCCATCTCTCTCTCCCTCTTCTCCCTTCCTCTCTGAAATCAATCAATACAAACACACACACATATATGTATGTATATATATATTATATATATTAATATATATAAAAGAAAAAAGTAGATGACATGAGGGAGGAGTTGGGGAGCAGAGAGAAACAGATGGTGCCCTGCACGCCTAAAGCCCTGAGACATCTCCCCTTAAACTGGGGAGAATTGGCAGACATGACATTTCACTGGCTGCAAAGGAAAAGCAGGCGTTAACACTGACAGAGCAGCGTAGGCCCAGGAATGGAAGTGAGCAGGCGGTTCTCAGACTTAAAAAGCAGAAGGATTGCCCCCACTTACTCATACATCATTTCTTCATCGTTAAGCCTTTGATTCAAGGGTCTAGCAATGTTCAATTTCCCTCCTAAGGAAAAAAACAACATCATTCACTGAGGAAGAATTAGCAAAAGTTGTGATTTTAGAGTTTAAAAATCCTCAGAACCCAGGCTGGTTTGGGACATTTGGAAGAACCACCAAGAAGAAACAGATTTAGGGACACAGAGCCAAACATTGGTAGAGCTGGACATTAACCCAGGCTGGCCGAGCTAATCCAATGAAGGCAAGAGCACGTGGGCTGTGTTTATTTCTTGTTGCCTAGTACTCCGCCTGGCACACAGTTGGCATTCAGAAATACAGGTCAAATGAGTAAGCAAAAGTGCAGCTGGGTGGAAATGACATCAACAATGGGAAAAGCAGTTTGCCATTTGTGACGCGCTGGGCATATAAGTTATTAATTATCTACTGCTTGTTAATAAAAGTGGGTCAAGGTAAAAGAAGAAGAAAAGTTTTTGTTCAGGCTTATACTTTTGTCTATATGTGAGAATGAGACATTTTAAGAAGGCAAATGAGTAGAGGACTACAGGGGCCAGAATACACATTTTGTATTAAAGACTAATTATGTAAATAAAATAAAATAACTAATTGCCATGAAGGGGTAGAGAGAAAAGAATATTAAGCAGGGAGCTCAGTGGACCTGAGTTCTGCTCTCCAGTCTGCCACCAACCCCTCTGAGACCTCAACCAAGGCTTCACCTCCTGCTGAATCTTAATATTCTCATCTCTAAAAAGAGATTAAGAGGCCCAGCCAGGGTGTCTCTGTGGTTGAGCATCGACCTATGAACCAGGAGGTCACGGTTCGATTCCCAGTCATGCTGGGTTGTAGGCTTGATCCCCAGAAGGCAGAAGGCAGCTGGAAGAGTCCTTGGACATTAGTTAACCTCCCTCCCTCCACTATGCAGATGGGGAAACTGAGACCCAAGGATACAAGTTAGTGGCAGGGCTCGAGCTGAAACCCAGAATGCACCAGGCTTAATCCAAAGTTCAGCCCATACAGGCCTGGAACTAATCTTGCTCTAAAGGAGCCCGAATGCACGTATAAGCACCCCTCCACCTGCCCAGGTGAGATGGCCATTACCTTGTCTGAGCAGCCGCCTACAGATACAGAACAGGATGAGGCCCAGGACCACGGAGACGATGATGATGGCCACAGCTAAGATGATCCAGAAATTGTCCCTCCACCAATCCATTGCCGTGGATTCCTGGGGAGAATGGAGGTGGAGGAATGAGGCATGAGTGAAAGGCATCCTGGGGCGGCAGGGGCAGTTACCTACCACGTTTGTGAGGATACATCTGCTTAGGGAGGAGGCGGCACCGGTTCACGGTCAAGCCCTGCTGATTAGCAGCTGGGAGACCTCAGGCCAGTCATTGAACCTTCTGTGAGCCTCAGTGTTCTTGTCTGCAATATGGGAGGGATACGCCCTATGACTTCTCAGGGGATTTGTGAGGGTTAGAATATGATTTGGACGGACTTGGCACTCTAGAAATGGAAGATGCAATCACTGCTTTTTTAAAAAAAAAATATCATCAAACATTCAGTAGGAGGGGAAAGGCCATTTAAAGCAATAACTGACAGCAGTTTTAAAAAATTTTTATTTTATTGTTGACAGTATTACAGATGTCTCCCATGCAGGTTTCTTTTTTCTATTTTTTTTTTAAAGTTGTGTCTTTTTTTTTAATATATATTTTATTGATTTTTTACAGAGAGGAAGGGAGAGGGATAGAGAGTTAGAAACATCGATGAGAGAGAAACATCGATCAGCTGCCTCCTGCACACTCCCCACTGGGGATGTGCCCGCAACCAAAGTACATGCCCTTGACCAGAATCGAACCCGGGACCCTTGAGTCTGCAGGCCAATGCTCTATCCACTGAGCCAAACCGGTTAGGGCAAAGTTGTGTCTTTTTTTTAAAAAAGAAATCTTTATTGTCCCCTTTTTTTCACTCATTAACTCCCTCCAGTCCACCCCTGCCCCTCCCCCCAGGCCTTCAGCACCTAATTGTCCGTGCCCATGGTTATGCATATATACATACAAGGTCTTTGGTTGGTTACCTCTCCCCTCTTACCCTCCGACCCCATGCGGTTGTTTTTATATCAAACAGGCAACATGGGCTTAATTCACAACATGGAGATAGAATTTTGAGAGTCTTTATTTTAGATGGGGAGCACCATTAGGAAGGTTCCACAGTGGAAAGTGACCAGTGCCTCTGTAGGACAGTTCCAATAGTCACTCTTAAATTGTTGTACTCTTCTGTTCCCAAACAGAAGATCTGTAGTAAAATCTTCCATTAAATTGCACAACAAGGGCTTGTATGAACAGAACCTGGAGGAAAATGACATGAGTGAGCGGGTTTCCAAGCCAGGGGTGACACAGGGGCAAGCAGAGAGAACAGTGGCTGCCGGGCCCCAAGTGACAGTGGGAGCAGGCTGCAGGATGGACTTGGGAGTGGCCTCCAGGAATTCAGGGAGATCCTGGGGCGGGGCTGGGCTCCCCTCACCCATGATATGGGCACTCTGACAGTTCATTTGGATATTAAACTGGAAATGATCCTCGAGGCCTGGGAGAGATCCTGGAATATCCTGGTTATGTGAGAATCAGCTTCCTTGACACCATCTAGCCAATGGAAACTCACCATGGGTGCTGATGTAGCACCATTTCTGATTCATACTCTCTATCTATCTATCTATCTATCTATCTATCTATCTATCTATCTATCATCTATCTATCTGTCTATCTATCTATCTATCTATCTATCTATATATTATTGATTTGAGAGGGAGAGAGAGATAGAAACATCAATGATGAGAGAGAATCATTGATCAGCTGCTTCCTGCACGTCCCCTTCTGGGGTTTGAGCCAACAACCCGGGCATGTGCCTTCGACTGGAATCGAGCCCAGGACCCTTCAGTCCACAGGCCGACGCTCTATCCACTGAGCCAAACCAGCTAGGGCCTGATGCATGCTTTGGAGTAATATTAACAATGTCAACAGGCACCCAGGCGGGTGGCAGAGGAACGGGGCGGAATTAGGCTGCTGCTGAAGCCATTCTTACTACGAAGGCCTTCTGACTTGGCTTGCTATTTAAAAGTGGGCATTACTAGCACAGTGTGGTCATCTATGAAGTTGTTACATTACAATTTGGATTTTCAGTTCCAAATTTTGTTTCGTTTCCTTAGTGAAGTTTTGGCTTAATCAAATATAGTGCTCTTAGTCTATTAATAAACTTACGTGTGGCAAAACCAACCACGTGTAACCAGCACTGTGCTATACTCATCATTCTGCAGCTTCCTTTTTTGCTCAACATTGTTTTTGTCATTTATCCATGTTGGTAAATGTGCTGGGGATTTACAATTAAGACAGCAAAGTGCCAACGACCAGAGAGCAGGAATAGCTCGTCCGCCAGGCAGGCACCAGGCAGAGGTCTGTGGTAGATCACCCTTCAAGATGCACAAAGGAAAGTAATAGAGAAAGAAGAACAAAGGGAAAAAGAAAACATGGAGAATAGAAACTTGATTTTGAATGGGGGCTGTGGACGTGGGTTTTGCAGGGCTCAATGAGGTCTCAGGGCACTAGTTGTAAGAAATTGCCATGTGCCCAGCCAGCGTAGCCCCGTTGGTTGAGTGTTGTCCCATGAACCAAGAGGTTGCCAGGGTTCAATTCCCAATCAAGGCACATGCCCAGTTTGCTGCAGGAGGCAGCTGATCAATGTTTCTCTCTCACTGATGTTTCTCTCTCTCTCTCTCTCTCTCTCTCTCTCTCTCTCAAAATCAATAAAAAATATTTTTTAAAAGAAGAAGATGCTGCCACATATCAGAGTGTGGCCTCTTTGTTCAACAAATGTAAATTGGACTCTCACTTTAAAAAAGAAAAAAAGAAGTCCTTTCAATTCCTACTTGAAAAAAAATTTTTTTTTGGAATCTCACTTTCTTAGCTCTGGGGAACCTGATAGACAGATAGGTAGGTGGATAGAAAGATAAATAGAATTTCTTCTTTCCCTTTTCTCCTTCTCTTTTCACATATTCAAATGTGTGTCTCTTTGTCTAATAATTTTCCTCTCCTATTTTTGTTCTCTTTGTCTTTTTGTCTTACTTTTGAAGGATTTCTCCACAAAGCCACATAAACATCTCTTTAGAGCGCTAGAAGTAAATGCCAGGACACAAGAGTCCAAAGCCATTGCATCTGAGGAGCATGTCTGGGTGGAAGGAGGAAAGTGGGAAGACAGGGTCTGTAACTATAAACCCTCTGGGTTACTTGATTTTTAAAAGCATTTAGTTTAATAAAACTGAAAAAAGTCAATCAACCACACGGTGTAACTTCCATGAAAAGCTACAGCTCAGATTTCAAGTTCAAAAAAATCACATCAGGAAGTGAAACTATGGGCTCGTTGCAGTTTTGTTCTTACAGATCATGTGGATTTGATTTTCCATCGGATGCTTCGAGTGGGTTCAGGGCACCAAGCAGTCACAACTGCTTTCTCATCTCTGCCCTCACCGCAGCCTCCCCTCCACGCTCCTGCCCACCACACCAGAGCTGAAACAAGGTGAAGTGGCCTGCCCAAGGTCACCGGGTAGGAAGGAGGGCAGATGCTTTCTATGCTACAGAGCCTTCCTCTGTTGACATTAGTCAGGATGCTCCCAAGTGATCCACAAAAAGCCAAATGGGATTCAGGATATTTCACTTTAAAAGGAGCATCACTGTGGTGCTGATATGTGGTGCGAGGAGCCAAGGGATCCCCCAGAATGAGTGGGGCCCACACTTGAGAATAAGTATCCCAAGTTCCCCGAATTCTAAGACCAGAGAAACAGTCCTCTTCCCCAGGGACCGCTGGGAGATGCCTTTCAGCAGAACTTGTCCTTTCTGAGAGAGTGCCGCTGAGGGAGGGGGATGTAGCACAGTCCATTCCCGGTAGGATGTCCTCCGGGCCACCAGGATAGTTTAATGGCCAGGGTGCCACCGGAGAGGTGAGAGGAGCGCTGGGAGTGATGGCAGGAGTCCAACTAGGGGGCAGCGTGCAATAGCTGCATGATCAAGGTCAGGCCCTGGGAGGGCGTGTAAGCCGAATCCCGCCGTGACAGCAGGCCTGGAGTAGGTGAGACGGCGGAGCGACTGAAGCATGGGGCAAAGACGTGTTGGCATGAGAGGATGTGGGCAGTGAGCTCAACGATGCAGCTGGGTCTCTCAAGGGTCTGCAAGGAACCTCTCAAGGGCCAGGATTCCTCTCAAGGGCCAAGGGCCAGGGTCTTCGCTCAACACCACAAACTAGCTCAGCAGGAATGGGCCACTGATGGGAGATTTCCTGTGGAGAAGTGTTTGCCCCAGTCTTTCCTCCTCTAGCCAACACCAGAGGGGAAAGTGCAGGGGAGGGTGCAGAGGAGCCGGGGCAGCCTCACCCCCCCACTTTACTCTCTTCACTGGGGCAAAGGGGAGAGCTTTGAGTCAAGGATTGAAGTTTTAGAAACGGCACAACCAAATGTTTAAAATAAAATGAGTCTGCTTAGTAATCAAAAGTAACTTAAATTTTTAGAATTGAACTGAATTGGAACAAGGTGGGAGCCTGGGCAGCAGCATTTAGGACCAGGTCATTTCTTAGGGCTGTTCTAACAAATTACCATAAACATAGTGCCTTAAAACACACAAATGCAGCCCAGCCAGTGTGGCTCAGGGGTGAGCATTGACTGTGAACCAGGAGGTCACAGTTTTATTCCCTGTCAGGGCACACGTCCGGGTTGCAGGCTTAATCCCCAGTAAGGGGCGTGCAGGAGGCAGCTGATCAACAAGTCTCTCTCATCATTGATGTTTCTATCTCTCCCTCTCCTTTCCTCTCTGAAATCAATAAAAATATATTTTAAAAATATATTTTTTAATATATTAAAAAACCAAACGTACAAATGTAGCCTTGACTTATATGGCTCAGTTTGGGTATCAGCCCATGCAGTAGAGCAGCCAATCAATTCCCTCTCTCTCTCTCTCTCTTTCTCTCCCGTCCCCATTCCTCTCCTTCTAAAAATTTAATAAAAGCATGTTCTTGGGTGAGGATTAAAAAAAACAAAACAAAAATGCTTTTTAAACAAACAAATGTTCTGGAAGTCTAAAGTCCAACATGATGTTACTGGGCTAAATTTAAAGTGTGGGCAGGGCTGTGTGCCCTGCTGGAGGACCTACTAGAGAAGCTGTTTCCTTGTTCTTTTCAGCTTCCAGAGGC